CAGATAGTGACAGTTTTACTTCTTCATTCCCAATTTTATTTCTTATTTCTTTTCCTTGCCTGATTGCTCTGGCTAGGACTTCTAGTACTATGTTGAATAAAAGTGATGAGAGTGTGTTTCTTGTCTTATTTCTGATATTTGTGGAAAAACTTTCAATTTTTCACCTTTGAGTATGATATTTGCCATGGGTTCTTCATATATGGCCTTTATTATGTTGAGGTACTTTCCTTTATACCTATTTTATTGTGCATTTTAATCATAAATGGATATTGTATCTTGTCAAATGTTTTTCTGCATCTATAGATATGATACGATTTTTATATTTTATTTTGTTAATGTGGTGCATCACATTGACTGATTTACATATGTTGAACCATCCTTGGGTCCCTGGAATGAACCCCACTTCATCATGATGTATTATCTTTTTAATGTATTATATATTTGATTTGCTAGTATTTTGTTTAGGATTTTTACATCTATGTTTATCAGGGATAGTGGGCTGTAATTTTCTTTATTTGTGTTGTCTTTGCCTGGTTTTGATATCAGGGTAATGTTGACCTCATAAAATGAGTTAGGAAGTATTTCCTCCTCTTCAAATTTTGGGAAGACTTTGAGAAGGATAGATATTAAGTTTTCTTGAATGATCAGTAGCCATGTGGTCCCAGGACTTTTGTTTTTTGGGGGAGGTTTTTGATTACTGTTTCAGTTTTCTTACTAGTGATCAGGTCTACTTAGATTTTCCAATTTTTTATTTCAGCCTAGGAAGGTTATATATTTCTAAGAATTTGTCCATTTTCTATAGGTTATTGAATTTGGTGGTGCATTGCCTTTCACAGTATTCTTTTATAATTCTTGGTATTTCTGTGGTGTCTATTGTAACTTCTCTTTCATTTCTCTGCCTGAGTATTTGAGGTAGTGAGCTTTTTTCTTGTTTAGATGCTGTTTTGTTCTCAATGATTCAGCAGGTTGATTGGTAGGGTACTTTTCTTTGTTTTCTGGTAGATGGTGTCAGAGTGCAAGTTTTTGTTTTCTCTTATCCATACTATTTGTGTCTCTAGAATCAAGATGAAGTGGTGTTGCTTAGGTTAAAGAAGATGCTGCATACCCACTGGGATGGTGGGTATCACCTCTATGGCCAGCTCACCTCAGTAATGGGGCACTACCACTGTGGTGGGTGTAAACTGGTTTTGTAAGCTTCCAGCACTACCTATTTTTTACTAATGGTCACTGGCCCACTGTGTTTTCTGGCCCACTGAGCCTTTATAGGGCTCTTCCAGGATGGGTGGGGTGTGGAGGCCAAGTTCAAGTTGTCATGGCCTGCTATACTGTTTAAAGCATCTCAATGTTCTCTTCCTGGCTTTGGCAGGTTGGATGGGGCAAGGGAAGCATGTTGGCAATCTTGTGGCTCTGCTGCCCTGCCAGCAGTGGTCCTCAGCATCTCGGCCCTGCCTAGGGCCTCTCAGCGTTCTTTCCTTGGCTCTGCAGGGACGGGCGGGGCTATGAAGGCCCTAAGGTCTGAGGCTCTGCCTCTTTTCCAGTAAGGACTATCAGCAGCGCTGTTTTTATTTTTAAAACTTATATTTATTGTTGAATGTATTAAAGATGTTCCTTCTTTCTCCACTATTGGCCCCCTCCTCCCCACTCCCACACCCCTCCTGCCTTTCCCCACACTATTGTCTGTATCCATTGGTTATGCATATATGCATGGAAGTTCTTTGGTTTATTTCTTCCCACCTCCCCACTCCCCTTCCCTTTGAGGTTTGTCAGTCTAACAACCAATTTGTACTTCTTAATCCCTTCACCTTTTTCATCCATTCCCCTTACCCTCCTCCCATCTGGCAACCAACAGAATGTTCTCTGTATCTATGAGAATGTTTCTGTTCTGCTTGTTCATTTTATTTGTAGATTCAATTGTCGATAGATATGTATTTATTGCCATTTTATTATTCATGTTTTTGTTGTTGTTGTTGTTGTTCTTCTTGTTCAAGAAGACCCTTCAACATTTCATATAATAATGGTTTGGTGGTGAAGAACTCCTTTAGCTTTTTCTTGTCTGGGAAACTCTTTATATGTCTATCGATTCTAAATGACAGCTTTGCAGGATAGAGTAGTTTTGGTTGTATGTTCTTGTTTTTCATCACTCTGAATATTTCTTGCCACTCCCTTCTGGCCTGCAAAATTTCTTTTGAGAAATCAGCTGACAGTCTATGGGAACTCCCTTGTAGGTAACTAACTGCTTTTCTCTTGCTGCTTTTCTTTTTTTTTTCAATCCTCACCTGAGGACATTTTTGCCTTTTATCTTGAGATATAGAATGGGAGAGAGAGAAGGAGGAAGAGAGAAAGAAACATAGAAGTGAGAGAGACACATCGAGTGGCTGCCACCCACACAACCCCAACCGTGTCCGGGGACAAACTACAACCGAGGTCCATGCCCTTAGCAGGAACCAAACCAGGCCTCTCTGGTCCCCTGGCTGATGCTCTAACCGCTGAGCCAAACCAGCCAGGGCTCTCTTACTGCTTTTAAGATTCTCTCTTTGGCCCTGGCTGGTTTGGCTCAGCGGTTAGAGAGTCAGCCAGTGGTCCAGAGAGACCCAGGTTTGATTCCTGCTGGGGGCATGTACCTTGGTTGCAGTTTGTCCCTGGCGTTGGGTTGGGCGGGTGGCAATCACTCGATGTGTCCCTTTCACATTGATGTTTCTCTCTCTCTCTCTCCCTCCCACTCTATCTGAACAAAATATGGAAAGGTGTCCTTGGTTGAGGATAAAAAAAAAAGGATTCTCTCTTTGTCTTGAACCTTTTGCATTTTGATGATGATGTGTCTTGGTGTGGGCCTCTTGGGGTTCATCTTGTTTGGGACTCTCTGTGCTTCCTGGACTGGTAAGTCTGTTTCCTTCACCAAGTTAGGGAAGTTTTCTGTCATTATTTTTTCAAATAGGTTTTCAATTTCTTGTTCTCTCTCTTCTCCTTCTGGCACCCTCATGATGTGAATGTTGGTACACTTGAAGTTGTCCCAGAAGCTCCTTACACTAGCCTCATTTTTTTGGATTCTTTTTTTTTTTTTTCTGTTCTGATTGGGTGTTTTTTGCTTCCTTATATTCCAAATTGATGGTTTGCTTCTTGGCTTTACCTACTCTACTATTGAATCTCTGTAAATTGTTGTCTCTCTTTTTTTTTTATCCTCACCCGAGGACATTTTTCCAGTTTTTGTTCAGATAGAGTGGGAGGGAGAGAGAGAGAAACATCAACATGAAAGAGACACATTGAGTGGTTGCCACCTGCACGACCCAACCAGGGCCAAGACAAACCGCAACTGAGGCACATGTCCTCAGCAGGAACCGAACCCAGGTCTCTCTGGACCGCAGGCTGACGCTCTAACCTCTGAGCCAAACCAGCCAGGGTTGTAAATTATTCTTTATTTTAGTTAGTGCCTCCTTCATTTCTGACTGTTCCTTTTTTATGCTTGAGGCCCTCACTAAGTTCACTGAGGTTCTCACTAAGTTCATTGAGCATCCTTATAAACAGTGTTTTGAACTCTGCATCTGTTAGATTGCTTATCTTTGTTTTGTTTGGTTCTTTTCCTGGAGTTTTGTTCTGTTCTTTCATTTGGGAGATGTTTCTTTGTCTCCTCACTTTGGCTGCCTCCCTGTGTTTGTTTCTATGTATTAGGTAGAGTTGCTATGTCTCCTGGGCTTCCTAGTGTTCCCTATTGTAGTAGGTGTCCTGTAAGGTTCAGTGGCACATCATCCTTGGTCTCCCAGCTGGGCCCTCAAGGTGCACTCCTCGTGTGGACTTTACACCTTTCTGTTGTAATTGAGTCTTGATTGCTGTTGCCACATCAATGAGAGGGTTTTATTCAGGCTGATCAGCTGCAAGGACTGGCTGTTCCCACTCTCCACTGACCTCTAACTTCTTTGGAGTTTCAGCTGTGCAGTGGGCTCTGGTACTCACTGAGTTCATTCCTTGAGTGTGCCACTTGTGAAGATGGTTGGGTGGTTGTGCTTTGCAGTGTTCTGAAGCTGTTCACTGGGTGTGTTGGCTTAGGAGCAAGGTCAGCCACTGCCTGTGTTCTATCTGGGGCCACCAGGCATAAGCTACAAAGCGATCTGCAGATGGCTGCTTCTTGTGCTGGACTTGGAGGGGCCCAGGCAAAGCCAAGTTGTGAACCACAGCTGGCCGCTTCTAGTGCCAGGCCTGGGGCCACTTCATGAGAGGTATGGGGCTCGCTGAGACCAGATGCTGCTTGTTTGAGAGAATTTAGAAAAATCTGAAGCAGGATCCAAGACAGGCCATTACTATGGTAAAGGAACTGGTAATAGCTTGGGTGGGCCCGAAAGTTGGGTGGGGCGGGGCCTCAGGGAATCACCAGGGCAGGGCAAACAGTGTGACCAGGTTGCTGGAGTTCCACATATGGCAGGCGTCTGCCGCCCCAGGGAAGGGCTCACCAAAGGAGCAAAGGCCTCTGACAGCACGTCTGTCCAGGAGAAAGCCCCCTCTCCAGCCCTCGCTCCAGTGCCAAACAGTTCAGTTCTTCCCCGTATATCTCTGGTGCCCCTCGAGCTGCCTCCCCGACACTGGAGCTCAGAGGGAGTCCGTGCACGGGCCCTTTAAGAGGAGCTGCCTGTGGCTCCAGCCGCCTCAGCCTCCCTTTGCCTCAGTTCCTGCTGGTTTTTCCAGCCAGAAGTTATGGGGATTCTCTTCCTGGCACTGGAACCCTGAGCGGGGCACCTGGTGTGGGACGGGGACCCCTCAGTCCTCAGGGAGGACCTTCCCAGTTGAGGTGTCCCCCTGATTTTTATCCGCCACATGTGGGTGTGGGGCCAGCCCATCTGTGCTTCCGCCCCTCCTACCAGTCTGGATGTGGCGGCTGCTTTAATTTCGTAGTTGTAGGACTTCCATTCAGCATGATTTTAGGCATTTTTGAGTGATGGCTGTTCTGTAGTTTAGTTGTAATTTTGACGTGGTTGTGGGAGGACGCGATACCGCGTTTACCTACCGCCATCTTGACCGGAAGTCCTCCAGTGCTGTGTTTTAAGCTTTCCAGCCACCTCTATCCATGTCTGCTGCGATTGGGAGGGTGGATGGGAGATGTCTTTTCTTGGGGGACCACTACTTCTGCTTTTCTTCCCCCTTTATGGATTTAAGACGGAGAAACATTGGTGAGACAGAACATTTGACTGGCCGCCTCCTGCATGCCCCCCACTGGGGATCGGGCCCACAACCTGGGCGTGTGCCCTGACTGGGAATTGAACTGGCGACCTTTTGATGCATGGGTTGATGCTCAACCACTGAGCCACACTGGCTGGGCTACTTCTACTCTTCTTACAATCCAGGCTTTAGTGTGAAGGTGGCAGCTGACTCTTCCCCTGCTACTGCACTCTTGGGAGCTGTGGTGGGCACTAAACTGCAGCTGTGGCAACCATACCTGTCTATCCTGCCAACTCACCTCCATATTCATTCCAATTGGCCCACCTTCAGATGTACTTTTAGGCATGTTCCTTTGTTGAGTAGGGCATCCTTTGTTGAGTTATACTTGTCTGACTTGTAAATTTAAGGAGAGAAATAAAGGACCGGACTTCTCACTCCACTGTGATGATGTGGTCACTCTTGCATGTATTTTTCTTCTTTTTAGTACAATTTGCCTATATGTGATTTTGTCTTTATCCAGTTTGGGATTTGTAGTTTTCAAATGCGGGTGATGTTTTTTGTCAGTTTGGTAAGATATCCTTTATCTCTTTTTAAAAAATTTATTTTCCCCATATTCGATGTTCTCTCTTTTATGGATTTCAATTATATAAATACTAGCTCTTTTTACTCTATTTCCCACTCTGGGGAAACAGTATTTCGTTATGCAAGAATCCATTACATCCATGTGAGAAGTCTTTCTCTTACTGAAACGCGTTGCCATGCTAATTCTCCTGTATCCTGGAACTGGAGCTCTGTCATTAGCAGTGGCGACACCCACAAATGTTCATGCACTTTGGACATAGTCACCTTTGTTTTAAGGACATAGGGCAAAAGATGTGGAGAACTTTCGTGGTCACAAGGTTAACTATTTAAGGTTATAGGCTGCACCACGCCAGTCCTCTGTGGCAGATTCTCAGTGACAGAGGTACTTACATCTCTGATAAATATGTATTTGCAACATGCAGAGCCCTCTAGCATGGGCCCCAAGGCAGTATCCCATTTTACCTGGGTCTGAAATAGGGTTTCTCAATATCAACACTTGATATTTTGGGCCAGATAATTCTTTGTTGAGGAGATGTCTTGTGCATTGTAGGATGTTTAGCAACATCCCTGTCTCTCCTTGCTACCTACCAGTAGCACCTACCAGTTGTGACAAACAAACATATCTCCAGACATTGCCAGATGTTCCTCGGTGGGCAAAATCCCTTATGGTTGAAAACTACTGACCTAAGGATAATATTCCAGACAAGAAAGACCCACATGTAAGTTCTACTTGGAACTTACTACCAATAATCTGCTTTATAAAAGAAAAAAGAGCCCAGCTGGTGTGGCTCAGTGGTTGAGCAGTTGATCCATGCACCAAGGGGTAGCTGGTTTGATTCCTGGTCAGGGCACACGCCCAAGTTGTGGGCCAAATCCCCAGTGGGGGGCATGCAGAAGGCGGCCAATCGATGTTCCCGCTTATAGATGTTTCTATTTCTCTTTCCCTCTCCCTTCCTCTCTCTAAAAACCAATAAATGGGGGGGGGGGGGGGAATAAAGCAGCTGACGGAAGTGAAGTTTTGGGTGTTGGAGGAAACAGGGAAGGCATTGTTTAGTAACTGCAGCGGGGACACCTTGTGAGGAGCTTCTGAGATGGAGAAAGGCTGCCTCAAAAGGAGAGGTAGTTTTCAGGGGATCAATTCAGGAGCACAGTAGCCCCACTCCTTATCTACATTTTTACTTTCTGTCATTTCAGTTTTCCATGGTCAACTGCGATCTGAAGACATTAAATGGAAAATTACAGAAACAATTTTTAAGTTTTAAATTGTGTCCTGTTCTGAGTAGCTTGATGAAATCTCAAGCCATCCTGCTTTGTCCCACCTGGAATGTGAACCATCCCTTTGTCCACTGAATCCACACTGTATATACTATTTGCCCAACAGTCATTCCATAGCTGTCTTGGTTACCAGGTCAACTGACTCGCCATCGCAGTGCTTGTATTCAGGTAACCCTTGCAGTAGCCGAAGGCTGTCATTACTTCATTGTATCATCTCACGTCATCACAAGGGGAAGTACAGCATAATGTTTATTACAGTATATTGTTATATAATAGTTCTATTTTATTATTCTTTTATTATTGTGCCTAATATAGAGACTTTATAATAGGTATGTATGTATAGGAAAAAACATATTATGCATAGGGTTTTGTACTATCTGCAGTTGCAGGCATCCACTGGGGTCCTTGGGACATACCCCCCGAGAAGTTCAGAGAATTTCTGCCTGATAAAATAGTTCTTATGTAAGCTGAAAGGCAAAGACATGTTAAGAGCGAAGAAGAGAGGGTCACATAGAGGTTTTAAAAAGTTTGTAAGGGGAATGGGAGGAGAGTTTGACTAGAGAAAATGCTAAGATAACATGCAGTGTAGAGGTCAGTTAACATTCATTTTTCATAATACTGATTTGTGCATTTAGTGTTTTTCTCTAGAAATAATCTGTAGAAGATTAGATATTTCAAGGGTCGGGATTTTCCAGGAAGGTATTACATAGGGGAGGGTTAGTTGGGATACTGACAACAGTGATATTGAATTGATAGATCAAATAAAAATCTAGACAGGGCGTATGAGACAGGTGAAAATAGATTGATAATAATCTGATTTGAACATGTGTAAAGAAATAGAGCTGTTACGATAAGAGGTGAATTTCTAAATTTGTGATTTCAGAGGTAAAGTTGTTTTTGGATATTAAAAGTACCCAGGATATGGTTTACATGGAGACAAAGTAATACAACGAAAACCCTGTATGTAAATGGTCACTGATGTCAACCAGATAGTTGAAAATTTCCTCAAAATTTACTGAAAGAATGTGACCTTTCAGCTCTCAAAATTAGTTTAATCACAATAGTCACTTCAAACTTTCTTCTGTACTGTCCATGTCCCAGGTTTAAACAGTGATCTGAGAAATTTTACTTATTAATACATTTTTCAATCACAAGACTGTTACCTTCTCCCCAGCTCGCTCGCCTTGCTCCCTTGTCAACTCTGGGCCCGTCTTGGGTGGGTGCAGGTGGGCAGACAGCATGCTGAGCCGCCTCTACCTAAACCAGCTGGCGCTAGCAGACTCACCTCACCAGGTCCAGCCTTTTCTTTCAGTATTGCCCACTTTTTGTTCTCATCCAATATAACCTTGTGGGATCACCGTTGTGTATGTGGTCCGACACTGACCGAAACATGAAGCAGCACATGACTAGAAGATTTTTGAAAGAAAAAAAGTAACATTCTAAGGTGGGTCCATAGGACACTGAACTCACTGCCACCCAAGAACACACTGAATGCACACCTCTATTTAGAGCAATTCCTCCTGAGGGACATCTGAGGGCCAACTGAATACCTTCTGCACAACAAAAGAGACCATACAAACGTTGGGGAACTACAAAAGCTCTTCAGAGGTGAGAAAGCAGTAAGAGATAAACCTAAGAACGTATATGCATAACCAATAGACACAGACAGCAGCACGGTGAAGGTGGGTGAGGGGAACGGGAGTGGGTGGAAGGTGTCAATGGGAGAAAAAAGAGGGACATCTGTAAAAAAAATATTTTTTAATTAAAAAAAAAAAAAAAGCTCTTCAGGAGCTAAGAGAATTCCTCAGGACCAGAGGAACTGGGAACACCATTGTTTGTTTCTCCTGCACTTGGATAGTGGGTGAGAGCCCATCCAGATGCTCTGGCTGACCTGCAGGACCACTGCACTGTGCCCCCAGCCACCCCTTCTAGAGCTAAGTTGAGCAGGAACAGGAAGGTGCCATAGCACTCCACCCAGTTGATCCAGCAGGTAGAAGGCACTGTTGCACACACCCACTATGCTGCATGTGCACACACAGGGCTGCCTTGCTCAGAGCTAACTCAGGTAATAAAGCAACAGTGGGCACCACAAGCACGCAGGGCCACCTGCCTGGATTAAAAGGGCAATGAAGTGCACACACATCAAGCTTTCCTGAGCTGATTCTGTTCTAACCGTGGACAGCCAGATCAGGGAGCTACCACACATGTGTACACCAGGCTGCCCTGCCTGGAACCTGCTCCTTCTGGCCGGGCAGCACACCAGATACTGCATGCACCTGCCCTGACTCCAGCCTGCCTGCCAAAACCACCTGGCATAGTCTGCATGGTGATCACTTCTATAAAAGACCACTTTTTCAAGATTGGGAAAGAGATATATCATCTAACTCATGGGAACAAAACAGAAAGTCAAGTAGGGAGACAGAAGAATATGCCCAATAGAGGAACAAAGCACTTTGGAGAAAAACTCTAACAAAATAGAGACAATTTGCCTGATGAAGAATTCAAAGAAGTGGTCATAAGGATGCTCAATAAACTAGAGCATAGAATAGAGGAACGCAGAACTTCAACAAAGAATTAGCAATACAGGGGTGGGCAAAAGTAGGCTTACAGTTGTATATGCAAGTTCATTCTTATACTACTTACAAAAATGTTTTTATTGCCCTGGCAGGTTTGGCTCAGCGGTTAGTGTTGGCCCGCAGACCAGAGTCTCAGGTTTGATTCTGGTCAAGGGCACATACCTCGGTTGCAGTTCAGTCCCCAGCCCTGGTTGGGGTGGTGTGGGAGGCAACCAATCAATGTCTCTCTCACATTGATGTTTCTCTCTCCCTCTCTCCCCCACTCTGTCTGAAGATAAATGGAAAAAGTAACCACAGGTGAGGACTAAAAAAACAACAAAAAAAGTATTTTTATTTATTTTTTTTAGAAAGGAAGAGAGAGAAACATTGATCCACTGCCTCATGCACACCCCTTACTGGGGGACCAAGCCCACAACCCAGGCACATACCTTGACCAAGAATTGAACCAGGACCTCTTGGTCCATGGGTGATGTTCAATCCACTGAGCTACACCGGCCGGGCTGTATTACTCATTAATTATGTTATTTTAAATATGAACAACTATAAACCTACTTTTGCCCACCCCTGCAAACAAAGACCTGAGATGATGAATACAATAACATAAATAAAAAACGTATTAGAAGGAATTGACAATAGGTTAACACAGAACAGATTAGCATCATGCAAGACAGAATAGTGGAAATCATTCAATCAGAACAGCAAAATGGGAAAAAAAAAAAAAAGATGACTGGACAAGGGACCTCTGGGACAACAACATCAAGCACTCTAGTATTCACATGGTATGGATCCCAGAATGAGAGAAAAAGGGGCAGAATGTGTATTTGAAGAAATAATGACTGAAAACTTTCCTAATCTTGGGAAGGAAACATGACATCTAGGTTCAGGAAGCAGAGAGAGTTCCAAACAAGATGAACCCACACCAAGACATATTATAATTAAAATGGCAAAAGTTAAGGCTAAAGAGACAATCTTGTAGGCAGCAAGAAGGAAGCAAAAAGTCACATACAAGGAAAACCCTCAAAGGCTATCAGCTGATTTCTTAGCAACAACTCTACAGGCCAGAAGGGAGTGGCAGAAAATATTTCAGATGTTGAAAGAAAGGAAATTAGAATACTATACCAGGCAAGGTTATCATTCAGAATGGAAAGAAAGTTTCCCAGAAAAGCAAAAAATAAGGGAGTTAACCACCACTAAACTGGCTTTATAAGAAATGTTAAAGGGACTTCTTTCTATAGAAATGAAAAGGCCATAACCAGAAATAAGAAAATTGAGAAAAGAAATCTCACTAGTAAAGGCAAATATGTAATAAACACAATGAAGAAACCATTTAAAAGGCTAATATAAAGGTTGAAAGACAAAAGTGGCAAAACTATAATAATCGGACTACACACAGAAAAATATAAATTATGATGTCAAAAATGTAAAATATGGAGGGAGAAGTAAAAATGTAGTACTCTTAGAATGCATTTGAATTTAAATGCCTAGCTGCTTAAAATAGACCGCTATTATCATATATATGAACCTAATGGTAACCTCTGGAAAACAAAACACTGAAGAAAATCAGTACCCCACCCCACCCCACCCCACAAAAATCAGAAGGAAAAAAGAACAGAAAAAAACCCAAAAAAACAACAATAAAAACAATTAACAAAATGGCAATAAGCACATACCTATCAATAATTACTTTAGAGGACTTCCAGTCCAGATGATGGTTTAGACAAACACTGTGCTTGCTTCCTCCCACGACCACATCAAAATTACAACTAAGTAATAAACAACCATCATGGACAACTACCTGAAGAGTAGTTGAACAGAATTCCTGTAACTAAGAATATAGAGAAGCCACATCAAGACTGGTAGGAAGGGCAGAACAGGCAGGTCCCACATCCATTGTATGGCAATTAAGAATCAGGAGGGATATCTTGGCTATGGAGGTCCCCACTGAGAAGTGAGGGGTCCCAGCCCCACACCAGGCTCCCTGACCTGGAGCATCAGTGCTGAAAAGGGGAGTTCCCATAACATCTAGCTAAAAAATTCAGAGTGGATTGTGACCAAGAAAGACAAAGGGCTTTTCTTCTAAAGCTGAGGCGGTTCTTCTAAAGGGACCACGCACTCTAAGCTCCAGTACAGAGGCAGAAACTAGTAAAGGGACACAGGGAGGAACTAAAATGAGTAACTTCAGGGCAAGGGCCTGAGGGGCAGGGATAGAGGCAACTCCAGAGATGGAAGTACTGGCAGGCACCGAATTTGACCTCTTCATCAACCTGGCTGACACCACTCCTCTCACCCTGGTGATTCCAAGACCGTGTGCCACCCAACTTGCCTGCCTTGCCTGAGTCTCTTTCAGTGGCTCCTCCACACAAGTGGCCTGCTTCAGCTCTTGATGCAGATTTTCTCCGAACACTCAAAGGTCCAGAAACAACCAAACAAGCAGCAACCAGCCTTAGCGTGCCTTGTAGCTTTCCCTAAGTATCCAGAAGCCCAGCACAAGTTGTGACTGGTCTCACCTTGCACAGTACTCCCATCAGCTGGCCCAAGACTGGCATAAATGGCAGCCAGTCTTGGTCTGGCATATAGCTTCAACTAAGTGACCACAAGCTCAGCACAACTGGCAGTTGGCTTCAGTTCACACTGTAGTCCCACCAAAGGATCTCAAGCCTAGAACAAAGGGCAGCCAGCCTCGGCTTGCACCATAGCTCCTCCCAAGTGTTTCCAAGCCCAGCACAAATCGCAATCAACAGATCACTTTGTAGCTCCTACTAAGAGGCCCTAAGCCAGGCACAAGAGGTGGCTGACTGGCATAAACCAAGCCCCACAAAGAAGTTCCATACCCAACACACCCAGTGGCCAGTTTCAGACCACAACACAGTACCACCCAACCAGCTCTAGAAATGACACATCCAAGTCAGACTCAGCTGGCATTAGAGCCCAGTTAAAGTGACTCCCGCTCCACAGGGTCAGCCCCGTATAAAAGCTCATCTGCTGTACTAGTCATAGCTAGTTCTCACAGCCAGTCAGCCTAAGGGTCAACCCCACCCACTGATGTACCAATAGCAATCGAGGCTCAACTACAACAGGAAGGCACACACAAGCCACATGGGAGACACCCCCTGAGCACCCAGCTCTGGTGATCAGATAGACTGTGCCACTGGGTCCCATAGGACACCTTCTACATAAGGCCACAATGTCAAGACCAAGATACGTAGTAGATATACCTAATACATAAACACAGGGAGTCTCAAATGAAAAAAATAAAAAATAAAAAATAAGAAACAAGACAAAACTCCACAAAAAGAACTAAAAAAATGGAGACAAGCAATCTATCACACAGAACTTAAAACACTGGTTATAAGGACGCTCAATGAACTTCGGATGAATACATAAGATGGAGAAAATGAGAGATGAAGTAAAGGATCAAATCAGCCATCTGGTAGACAAGGAGTGGAAAACACCCAAATGGAACAGCAAAAATAAAAAGGAATTTAAAAAATTGATAGTTTAAGAGACCTCTGTTACAACATGAAGTATACTAACATCTGTATCACAGGAGAAAAGAGAAAATGGGGACTGAAAACCTATTTCAAGAAATAACGGCTAAAAACTGCCTTAACCTGGTGAAGGGAATTGACATGTAAGTCCAGGGAGTCCCAAACAAGATTAATCCAAAAAGGCTCACATCAAAACACATTATAATGAAAACACCAAAGGTTAAAGACAAAGAGAGAATCTAGAAGAGTACAAGAGAGCTTTCATAAGATTGTCAGCTGATCTCTCAACAGAAACCTTGCAGGCCAGAAAGGATTGGCACAAAATATTCAAAGTAATGAAAGGTAAAGACTTATAACCAAGATTATTCTACCAAGCAAGGCTATCATTTAGAATGGAAGGATAGTTTCCCAGACAAAAAACAAAACAATAAACAAAAACTAAAGTTCATCACCACTAAACCAACATTACCAGAAATGTTAAAGGGACATCTTTAAAATGAAAAAATATGAGTAAGAAAATATTGGAAAGAAAAAAATTCCCACTGACAAAGAACTTAGTAAAAGAATACCATAAAGCTAGTACAAAGGTTAAAAGACAAAAGTAGGAAGATCATGTGTACAATTAAGGGGTATACAGAAACACAGACAAGAGAGATAAAAAATGACAAAAACAAATGGGAGGATTAGTAAAACTTGCAGTGATTTTAGAGTATGTTAGAGCTTAAATGACCACCAACTTAAAATTGACTGCTATAAACATAGTTTGCTTATGAAGCACATGATAACTACAAATCAAAAATCTATGAAAGATATACAAGAAATAAAGAAAAAAGAATCCAAACATGACACTTTAGAAAGTCATCAACATACAAGAAAAGCAAAAAGATAACTATAAAAAAATCACAAAACTATAAAATGAAAATAACTATCAATATTACTTTAAATGTAATTTAGTATGAACAATTATATACCCAGAAATTGGAAAACCTAGAAGAAATGGATGAACTTCTCTAACGATACAACCTTCTAAGACTGAACCAGCAAGAAACAGAAAATCTGAATCAACTACTATAGCAATACTATTGAGACAGTAATAAACTCCAAACAAACAAAAGCCTTCACAGGTGACGTCCATTAAACATTTAAAGAATATTTAAACTTCTCAAAGTATTAAACAAACAAACAAAAACTGAACAGAAAGTAATACTTCAACTCATCCTATGAGGTCAGCATTATCCTGACCATAAATAACAATATCTCTGATGAACAGAGATGTAAAAATTCTCAAAATACCAGCAAACTGAATTCACTAAAAAGATTACACACCATAATCAAGTGAGATTTATACCAGGGACGGTTCAGTATCCACAAAATAATGTGATACATCACATCAACAAATGGAGAAATAAAAATTGTGATCATCTCAACAGATGCTGTAAAAGCATTTCACAAAATTCAACATCTCAGCAATGTGGAGATAGGAGGAACTAACCTCAAAAATTATAAAGGCTATATACAATTAGCCCACAGCTAACATCATACTCAATGGTAAAAAGATGAAAGCTTTTTCTTTAAGATCAGGAAGACAAGGATGTCCACTTTCACTTCTATTCAATCATAGTACTGAAAGTCCTAGCCACAGCAATCAGACAAAAACCAACTAACCAAATCAGAAGGGTATAAATAAAATGGTCACTATTTACAGATGACATATTATATATAGAAAATACTAAAGAATCCACCAAAAATTAATAGAATAAATTTAGTAGCAGGATACAAAATTAATAGACAGAAATCCATCACATTTCTATGCACTAATAATGATGAAAAGGAGAAACTAAGAAGACAATCCCATTTATAACTGCATCAAAAATAATAAAATACCTAGAAATTAAGGTTTCAGCTAAAGAGGTGAAAGACCTATATTCTGAAAATGCTAAGACACTGAAGAAATTGAAGAGGACACAAATAAATGGAAAAATATATCAACCTCATAGACTAGAAGGATTATTATCATGAAAATGTCCATACTTCCCAAAGCAATCTATAGATTTAATGAAATCCTTCTCAGACCCAGAACAAATAATTCTAAAATTAATATGGAAACACCAAACACCACAAACAGCAAAGAACCCTTGAGAAAGAACAGTTGGATGTATGAGATGTTCCTTGATTTCAAATACACTACAAAGCTATAATAATCAAAGCGGTATGGTACTGGCACAAAAACAGAAACACAGAATCAATGGAAAAAAGTGGAGAGCCCCCAAATAAACACTTCCTTATATGGTCAATTAAGCAACAACAATGGAAGCAAGAATATACAATGGAGAAATGGCAGTGTCTTCAACAAGTGGTGCTGGGAAAACTGGACAAATACATGTAGAAAAACAAATCTGGACTACTCCCTTACACCATATACCAAAATAAACTCAAAACGGATTAAAGATTTAAACATAAGATCTGAAACCATAAAACTTCTAGAACACATTAGTAAATTATTCGACATCTTGGTAGTTATGTTTTTGGATATGTCCTCTTGTCCAAGGGAAACAAGCAAAGATAAACAAATGGGACTATACACCAAAAGGCTCTGCACAGCAAAGGAAACCATCATCAAAACAACCTACTGAATGGGAGAAGATATTGGCCAATGACATATCCAATACGGGGCTGATATCCAAAATATGAAAGGACTCATATATACAACTCAGTAACAGACAATTAAACAATCTGATAAAAAATGGGCAGAGGAAAGAAAGAGACATTTCTCCAAAGATATGCAGATGGCCAACATATGAAAAGATGTTCAGAATCTGTAACCAGGAAAATACAAATCAAAACTACAATGAAATACCAGTTAGAAAGGCCATTATCAAAAAGTCAACAAAAAAATGTTACTGAGGATGTGGATTAAAGGGAATCCTGCACTATTGGTGGGAATGCAAATTGGCACAGCCATTAAGGAAATCAGTATGGAGATTCCCAAAAAAACTAAAAACATAACTACCACAAATCCCAACAATTCCACTTCTGTGTATTTATCCAACGAAAACAAAAACTAATTTGAAAACACACACCCCTATAATCACTGAAGCATTATTTACAATAGGTAAGATATGAAAGCCACCTAGGTATCCACCAACAGATGAATGGATAAAGATGTGAAATATATATAATGAAATATTACTCACCATATTCATTTTTTCAATAAAAAATGAAATCTCGTATTTGTGTATGGTTAGACCTAGAGGGTTTTAAGATAAGTGACATAAGCCAGACAGAGAAACACAAATACCACATGACTTCAATTATGTTAAATTTTTTTAAAAAATCAAATGAAAAACAAAACAAAAACAAAACAGACACATAGAAACAAAAAACTGATTGCCAGAGGGGAGTAGAGGGATGGATGAAAAAGGGGAGGGAAATATAGTCAATAACAGTGTGATAACTGTATGGTGACAAGTACAAAAATTTAGTGTTCACAACTTAAAGATATATGCTAATTACTACTGCTGTACACTAGAAACTAAAATAATATTGTATATCAACTATACTTTAATAAAAAGTATTTTAAAAAGACTTAGATCATTGGAATACAATAGGTAACACTTGAGTGTTAGGGAAAGTTGCCATTAAAATAGTGTTTCACTGCACAAAAATAATTTGTATTTCCCCACCTGGTACTTTTCAAAAACAGATTATCAGGGTGACACAGCATCTGTCCTCCTTTAATGCTCCCAATTTGTAAAGGAAAAAACCCCCAAAGTTCATGCTTAAAAGACAGCATGATATTTAATGTTCTTTCTGGGACATGAGGCAACAGGGACAAACAGACTTAGATTTATTCCAACCTTGAATTACATTAATGTACACTAATATATGAATTAATTGAAATGAGAATTTCTCTATTTGGAGATGAAGAAAACTGGTCTTCCAGTGCAGTATTTTAGAAGGCTTTTCTATTTACATATAAGAACCAAGACTTACAAACCCAGCATCTGAACAACAAATTAATGAAAATACTTTAAAAAATATAATACTTGCCTCTCCTTCTTCCACTCTTAAACATGAACCAGTCTTCATTTTCTACCTGAATAAGTTGTAACATGCAACCCAACAGACTAGATATTTGAAAATCAGTGGCCAATGTGAAATTTGTTAAATAAGGCCCAACTAATTTAAAACTAATTTTGTTAAATGTCACACCTCTTGTCTATTACCCACTTACTCAGTATTTAACTATACGGCAGGGAGAAAGTAGGTTTACAGTTGTGAGTATACAAAACACAGTTTATTCTTGTATTATTATTTGTGTTATTTTCCATACGAACAACTGTAGACCTACTTTTGCCTTACCCTGTATATTAGGTAACACCTATTGTAAAACAATGTGGAAATTAAGAAAAAAAAAAAATAGTATGGAAAATATTTTAGAATGAATTGGATAAATCAGGAAATCACCTGTTCTAGTTGCTAGATTCCTTTTAAAATGACAGAAATAATTTTAAAAACCCAACACATCAAACACTTAAGTATCTAGGTGTATAATAATTCAGTAAATGGGTTTGATTCAAGCCTTTGAACATGTTACTAAGAAACATTACTATTTTGGACCCAATTACTCAAAGTTCATTGACTAGCCCACAATGCAGTTTGTGTAAATCTGATGTACAAATCAACCACATAACAGTAGTCAGATTATTCTAATCTTACTCCAACAGAACTAGCAATTACATAAGAAAGCAATACTACTTTTTAGGAATTAATCAAAACAACAGCACTGGGATAAAATAAAGAGAATTTGTTTCAGCTTCTTGTTCTATAAGCTTGTTCCTCAATTTTAGATAATGAGGATAAAGGTATCACAACCAAATATGGGAAATTGCTTTCTCTTTATTTAGGCCTTAGGAAGAAAATTAACTTTGGTCACATAGTACCTAAAAAAACCAAAAACAACAAAAAAAGCTTACATATTCCTAAAGAGATAGGACCAAATGATCACAGAAATAATTTCCTCTGTAAAACTTTGTCAAATATTGTTTAAAAAAATCTAACATTCAATGTAATTCAAATTATATGAAGACTGCTTGGGATCATAGTATTCTAAATGTATTACAGTTGTAACTCCATTCTAACAGGTGTGAAAAGTATTTGCTCTCATGTTGCTTTGGTCCAAAAGAATAGAGCTGAATCAGTAAGAGTAAACTAAGTACCTAACTGTTTGCCAACATTAATTTAGATTGCTATTGGCAGCAGAAATATCCATGATGAATAGTTCTACTATAACAAAGTATAATAAAATAATTTTTTCATGAACACATCACAGTACAGATAAACGTTTTATGAGAAAAATATGAACACACAAAAAAGACAGCTACCATGAACAAAAAATAGTGTCTCCCTCATAACTATTTGAAGGGGTAAAAAGGTGAGATTAGAGGTTTGATGATGCTAATATGAAAGGAAATTGAGTATTGTATTTATTTCTTATTTTATACAACTCTTACTCTTTACAAAATTGATTTAGTCATGCCCATAAAAGTGTAACCCATGGCATCTGAAAGCAAACACTCTTTGTAATGACTTAAAAGGGCCTTTTTAAAAATTATAATACAAAGGTCTGTGCTCTATAAGCAGTCCTCCACTGTGCATTATAACAATAAGGCTTACTTTTAATACAAAGACTAAGTGTTTGGGAGTTATGAACCACTGGATTTAACAAACATCATTTTATAGTTGCTTTTTGCATCTTTTTTGTTTTTGGGATCCTCCACTTCATCAGGGTGCTCAGTAGCCTGGAGTTCTTCAGCAGATTCTTCTTTCTCTGACTCTGAATCACTGTCAGAGTCATCTGGACTTTCAGGATCAGGTGAATCATCATCATCATCATCATCTCCAGCTACATCACCTTCTCCATCATGATCTTCTACCTAAAAACACCAATCAACAGGCTCTTAAATAAATACAATCATCAAGTATAAAACTGGAAAAAAACTACTTCCTTGCCATTAAATGAACAGTTTTAAGACTGTACTATAATCACAGGCTGCCAAAGGAAGAACTGAGGTCTTAGGTATCTCCACGTGTTTTATATACTAGACATGAGTAGGATTTTAAAAAAAAGCTTTGAAGACCACTCACCTGTCCTCCATTTGAAAGTGAGGGACAAGCTTTTTTTTTGGCAAATTAACCTCTGATTCATGGAAATGCGCAAAACAGTGTTTTAGATATTACAGTATCAATGTTTTGCATATTATATTACTTTGGAATAATAAACCAGTATTTATAATATGAAAAAAGATGACTTAGGAAACATCTGAGAGAATTCTCCCAAACCAGTCCTGACATGATATATTCATCTACCCTGAATGCTATTCATTCCTATTTAAGGTATCTTAGTAGAGACACACACATGGGGTAAAAAAAATAATGACAAAAACAAACATGAGGTGAGGGTAAATAAAAAATGAAGTGATATGTCCAAACATAAGTTTACCATCAACTTAAAATAAGACTGCTATAAACATAGCTTGGTATATATAAAATGCATGGTAACCAAAAGCCTGTAAGAGATAAAGGAATCCAAACATAACACTATATAAAGCCATCAACATAAAAAAGAAGATAGTAAGAGAATAAGAAAGGAACAGAGAACTATAAAAACAATCAGAAAACAATAAAGTGATAATAACTACATACCTATTAATAACTACTTTAAATTTAAATGGACAAATTTAAATTAAAAAAAACATAAGGTAACTGAATGGATAGAAAACCAAGGCCCATCCATATGCTGCTCACAAGAGTTCTACTTCAGATCGAAAGACACATACAGACTGAAAGTAAAGAAATGGAAAAATATATGAATGGAAATGAAAAAAAGCTAGGTAGCAATATTTATATCAGACAAAACAGACTTTAAAACAAAGATTCTATCAAGAGACAAAGAAGGGTATAGAGATCAATCCAACAAGAGAATGTAACTTCTGTAAACATCTACATAACCAACCTAGGAGAACCTAAATATATAAAGCAATTATTGACAGACAGACATGAAGGAAGAAATTGACAGTAAGACAACAGTAAGGAACTTTAATACCCCACTGACATCATTGGATAGATCATCCACACAGAAAAGCAACGAGGAAACAATGGCCTTCAATGACACATTAGACTACATGGACTTACTTAATATTTTTAGAACATTCACTCAAAAGCAGCAGAATATACATTCTTTTCAAGTGTACATAGAACATGTTCCATGATCAACCACATATTAGCCACAAAACAAGTCTCAATAAATTTAAGAATGAAATCATATCAAGCATCTTCTCCAAACACAACAATATGAAACTAGAAATTATGAGAAAATGAAAAAAACAAACACACGGAGGCTAAATATGCTACTAAACAATGAATGGGTTAACAATGAGATCAAGGAATTAAAAAGATATGTAGAGAAAAATGAAAATGAAAACATGACCCCAAATCTATGCGACACAGCCAAAGTAGTTCCAAAAGGGAAATTCAGAGTAATACAAGTCTACCTGAAGAAACAACAAAACTCAAATAAACAATCTAACCTTACACCCAAAAGAACTGGAAAAAGAACAAAGCCCAAAGCAAGTAGAAGGAAGGAAATAATAAAGATCACAATGAAAATAAAAGAAATAGTCTGAAAAACATCAGTAAAGCTAAAAGCTGTTTCTCTGAAAAGATAAACAAAATTGGTAACAGACCAATTACTACTAACGAAATGGAATCAGAAATCAAACTCCCAACAGCCGAGTCGGTGTGGCTCAGTGGTTGACCATTGACCCATGCACCAAGAGGTCACCGGTTTGATTCCCAGTCAGGGCACATGCCCAGGTTGTAGGCCAAATCCCCAGTGTGGAGCATGCAGGAGACAGCCAATCAATGTTCTCTCTCATTGATGTTTCTATCTCTCTCTTCCTTCCTCTCTCTCTATATATCAATAAAGACAAAAAAAATTAAAAAACTCCCAACAAAAGTCTTGAACCAGATGCTTCAGAGGTGAATTGTACCAGTCAAAGAAAAATTAATATCTATTCTCACACTGTTTCAAAAGAACTGAAGAAGGAAAGCTCCCAAACTTATTTTATCAGGCCAGTATTACCTTGATACCAAAACCAAACAGAGACACTATAAAAACAGAAAATTACAGGCCAATACCCCAATAAGCACAGATGCAAAAATCTGCAATAAAATATTAATAAATTGAATTCAGCAATACATTCAAAAGATCATATACTACTATCAAGTGGGATTTATTCCAGGGACGCAGTGTTGCTTTAGTATCTGCAAATCAATCAACATGATTATCCAGATAAACAAAATGAAGGATAAAAATGATATGATCTTATTAACAGATGCAGAAAAAGCATGAAAAAAATCCAACATCCATTTAAGATAAAAACTCTCAGCAACACGGGGAAAGATAACATAATAAAGACCATATATGACACACCCACAGCTAACATACTCAACATTGAAAAGTAAAAGCTTTTCCTTTAAGAACAGGAGGAAGACAAGGACGTCCACTCTCATCAATTTTATCTGACATAGTACTAGAAATCCTGGCCACAGCAATTAGACAAGATATAAAATTTCCATCCAAATTGAAAAGGAAGAAGTAAAACTCTCATTTGCAGATGACTTACTATGTATAAAGAACCCTAAAGACTCCACCAAAAAACTATTAGAATCGATAAATGAACTCAGCAAAGTAGCAAGATACAATATTCAGAAATCAGCTGTATTTTTATATACCAATGAACTATTAGAAAAAAAATTAAGAAAACAATCCCATTTACAACTGTATCAAAAAGAATAAAATGTCTACAAATAAATTTAATCAAGGATGTGAAAGACCTGTGCTCAGAAAACTATTACGACATTGTTAAGAGAAACTGAAGACACAAATGAATGAAAGGATATACCAGGCTCCTAGACTGGAATAATTAACATCATTAAAATGTGCATATTACCCAAAGCCATCTACAGATTCTTTGAATTCCCTGACAAAACACCAACACAGTGTTTTTCACAAAATTAGAACAAATAATCCTAAAATTATACAGAACTACAAATGACCCTGCATAGCCAAAGCATACTGAGAAAGAACAAAGTTGAAAGTATTACATTACCTAGCTATAGTAATCAAAAGAGCATGGTACTGGCATAAAAACAGACACAACCATGGAACAGAATAGAGAGCCCAGAAATAAACCTACACTTAAACGGTCAATTAATCTATGACAAAGGAAGCAAGAATATACAATGGGGGTAAAGATAGTTATGTCAATAAATGATGTAGGAAAAACTCGACAAGATACATTTAAAAAACAATGAAATTAGACCACTTTCTTACACCATATACAAAAACAAACTCAAAATGGATTAAAGACTTAAATGTAAGACCTGAAACTATAAAAGAGCCCTGGCCAGTTTGGCTCAGCGGTTAGAGCGTCGGCCTGCGGACCAAGAGAGTCCCGGGTTCGGTTCCTGCTAAGGGCACGTACCTCAGTTGCGGTTTGTCCCCAGCCCCGGTTGTGGTTGTGCGGGTGGCAATCAGTCGATGTGTCTCTCTCATCCTCCCTCCTGCTCTATCTGAAGTTAAATGCAAAAATGTCCTTGGGTGAGGATTAAAAAAAAGAAACCATAAAAGAAAATGTCGGCAGAAATTTCTCTGAGATTGCTCTTAGTAATATGCTTTTGGATATGTCTCCTCAGGCAAGGGAAACAGAAAATAAATGAGATTACATCAAACTAAAAAGTTTTTGCACAGGGAAGAAAACCACCAACAAAAGAACAACCTACTGAACGGAGGAAGATATTTACCAATGACACATCTGATAAGAAAGTTAATATTCAAAAATATATAAGGAGCTCATACAACTTAACACCAAAAATAACAAACATATGATCAAAAAATGGGCAGAGGACCTGAATAGATATATGTCCAAAGAGGACATACAGATGGCCAATAGACATCAAAAGATGCTCAGCATCACTTATCGTCAAGGAAATGCAAATTAAAGTAACAATGAGCTATCACCTCACACCTGTCAGGATGGCTATCATCAATAAATCAACAAACAACAAGTGTTGGTGAGGATGTAGGAAAAAAGGGAACCCTCATACACTGTTAGTGGATGGCAAATTAGTGCATCCTTTATGGACAACATTATGGAGGTTCTTCAAAAAATTAGAAATAGAACTATCATATTTTCAAGCAATTCCACTTCTGGGTATTTATCTGAAGAAATCCAAAACACTAACTTGAAAAGATAAATATGCACCCAACCCCTATTTTCCCTGAAGCATTATTTACAGTAGCCAAGATATGTAAGCAACCTATATATCCAACAAATAAATGAATAAAGCTGTGGTTCATATACACAATGAAATATTATTCAGCCATAAAAAAGAATGAAATCTTGCCATTTGCCACAATATGAAGGACCTACTCCTAGAAGGTGTTAAGTGAAATAAGCCAGAAAGAGAAATACCCTATGATTTCACTTATATGTGGGATCTAAAAACAAAATAAAGGAACAAACAAAAAAGAAACAAACTTACAGATACAGAGAACAAACTGATGATTGCCAGATTGGGTAGGGGTTGGGGTTGAGTGGATGAGTATAAAACGTGAAAGGGATTAAGTACAAATTGCCAGTTATAAAAACAGTCATGGAGATGTACAGTGAATATAGTCAATAATACCATAATTACTATGGATGGTGCCAGATGGGTACTATACTTATTGTGATCACTTCGTAAAGTATATAATTGTATATTCACTATGTTATACACCCAAAACTAATATAACATTTTATGTCAACTATAATTGAAAAAATGTACCCTAGTGATTATCTAAGAAGAATTTACATCTGGTATCAGAAAACTTATTTATAAATCTCTCAAAATAGCTCTACTCATTATCTACAAAACCTAGTTGGGCATATAAAAATTTAAGTAACTGTAAAAATTATATCAAATTAAACATCGATTATCTTCCCATTTAATGAAAATATGTTAATTACTACCTCACTGAAGCCAAGTCCACAATGTCTTCGATATCTTCCTGACAATTTACTGTCCATACTTTGCTGATATTGAGACTCCAGTTCTTCATTAATTTTCTTGTCTTCTTCCCCTGCATGTCCAGGGTACTTTGGTTATGTTTCAGTCAAATTAATAAAAATATTTGATTACACAAAAAAACCCATAATACAGATGCTATTATAATCAGGGCTGATTTCTCAAACGGTGACTAATTTTACAATTAATGTAGCAGACAGGTTTCTATACCATAGGACATAATGGACATAAAATAACTGAAATATGTACTTATGATTACTACTTTAATAGCCAACTCTTTGAACTACAAGTGTTTATAAAAGATAAAGAGCTTATGTTTTTCCACGATAGTTCAATTAGAGACAAGAGTCTCAGAAAGAAGTGCCTGAAATTCAGATACTGTAAATATTAATTACGAAGAACTCTGACTATTGTATGTTTTAGCTTATTTATAGTCTAATAACTGTTCTTCCGAAAGTGAAAGTTTTCCAAGCCAAAAAACCCCTCCAAACAAAACCTTCTGTACGAGAAACAGAAATAAGAAAAGGCATGCAATTCTGTCAAAGAATGGTTAAATAAAATGACCTTGTAATGGCTCTCCTTTATGCCTTTTTCTGCATATCAGTTTACTGAAGCAACATAAATTTTTTTTATCATGCAACATCTGATATATTTTTACATATATACTATTATATGTAGTTATTAAGCAGAAAACTACCTATGCAGATACTACACAAGAACTAGATGTTACCAATACAATCAAAGCTTTCTGTGCATGACATTTTAATTTGTAAATATTAAGATGAATTTCACATTTTAATCACAAATGTTGGAGCTCTGCATTATTGTTATTCATAAAGCCCCCCCACCCCATTTAAATATACTTCCATTTTACAAAGCTCAGGTTCTCTTTTAGCCTTTTGTAGCAATGCATCAATTTAATCAAAATTGTTTAATACCAGAAATATAAAAGACCTATTAATGTCTAAAATGTGGTACATATTTTAGGTCAGCATAAGGTTAATTTAAATGATTTAAGTAAGTTTTGTTAAATATACCAAGGTCATTATGCCCTGTTATTATTAATGTCCATGATCAGGGTCAATTTTAAATAGGAGAAAACTTCACTTTTCAGTAGACTAAATTAAAATCCAAATCCAGTTTCAGTTCTTATTTAAAAGTTTTTCCCCCACAATTTTATTTTCCAAGTTAATTTCCTCAGGCTTTGCAATAAATTTATGCTCTTCAAAGATATCAGAGCAAAACCGTGAATAAACTATAAACCAATATAATATGCCAATTATAACAATACATGCTAAATAACTCTTAAAACCTTACTACAATTAACATGTATGTTGTGCATCAGTAAAAATTAAAACAGAAAAGGGCCAGTTTCTTGGTTAGAATATTATATTGATGTATATACTTTCAAATCTTTTAAAAATCAAAGTATATACTGTTATATAATATATGTAACATGTTCAAATATATAATGTGCATTTCCAATTCTAATATTTTAAATTATCAACGAAACTATACCCAGAAGTTAGAATATCCTGAAATATGTACAAATATTCCACATTACAAATTTAACTCTTCCACTTTAATTACGTTTTAAGTTTCTCACCTGTTCGGAAGTGAGATGTTGATTTGTGATCTCCTATAACAAGACGACCAGTATGTTCTTTCTATAAGGAGGCAGAAAATGTATTAGAATTTGAGACCACCAATTTAACATAATTATTGAGTGTCTACTACATGCCCGACACTATTCCAGGCTTCTGTGATACAGTGCAGAAAAAAGATTAAATTAAGATCCCTGTCTTTATGGAATTTATATTCTAGCAATGGCAGGGATGGGGAGGTGAAACAAAATAAGTAAATATAGTATGTTAGAAGGTAGTAGATGCTATTAAAACACATAAACAGAGTAGCGCTGCCCGGTTTGGCTCAGCTGTTAGAGCGTCGGCCTGAGGTCCAGAGAGACCTGGGTTCGGTTCCCACTAAGGGCATGTACCTTGGTTGTTGTTTGTCCCCGGTCCTGGTTGGGTCATGCGGGAGGCAGCAATCGATGTGTCCCTTTCACGTCGATGTTTCTCTCTCTCTCTCTTCCTCTCTTTCCCTTCCACTCTATCCGAACAAAAAATGAAAAAATGTCCTCGGGTGAGGATTAAAAAAATAAATAAATAAACAAACAAACAAAGTAGAGGAAGGGCTAGAGAGTATGTCAAGATCACGCTGGAATTTTAAATGGGAAGGATAGATAAGTAAAAACATAAGACAACCTAAAAATTTTCTTTTCCAAAAAAGCCAGTTAAATGACTGCCTTAACTTTCCCACCTTCTCTTGGTGGTGCCTCAGGCATATCTCATGGAGATTGCAAATGAAACCATTTAGCTAGCTAAAAATGAAAGACAGTGAACAAAGTGATAGATCTTTTAAGTATAAAAATGAAAATCATCATTACTATTGACATATCACACTCAAATAGCTAGCTCATTAGTATTTGGCTGCAATGAACACCCAATCTCAAACTGTCAAAAAGAACACAATTTAAAACAATCTAGTTCTATAAAACATAAAAATATATCTGATTCAAAGTTACCAACTGATCTGGCTACATAATTACTCTCAATTTATCAGCTCCAAACTTCTCTTTAAGGTTCATATTCAGTTTCATAAGGTAAATCAATAAATTGTTCACTAAGACATAGAGTAACTTTGCAAAACAATCTTAATCATCTGTGAAGATAACAGGAAATAACAAATCTTTCTATTGTGAAAGGATGACAGACATTCCCCATATCCAAAGATACTACTGAAAGCTTCAAGCATTAATGCTTATTGACTTACGTGTCATTAACACATAAACAGATCAATAATTCAATATGCTATTTCCTTAGATTGTAGAAAAGACTTCATTAACAAGATCTAAACATATAATTGCATCAGATTATTCTATGATGATAATACTGCACTTGTCTACTCATACTTTCTCAGCTAGTTCTGTTACCAACAAAATACTCATGGTTAGGATTAGGAATATACTTTGTGGCCACAAACCAGAACAAATCTAACCAGCGTACATAAAGCTACAATCTTTGCCTTCATAGCAAAGAATTTAATGTATGCTAAACAGCCCATTTACTGGCAGCCAAATTTCTTTTTTAATTGTTCAATCTGTTCCCTCCCACTTTTACTAATATAATTGACTATTGGTAGCTAAATTCTATTTATTTATTTATTTATTTATTTATTTATTTATTTATTTATTTATTTATTATCCTCACCTGAGGACATTTTTCCATTCTTTGTTCAGGTAGAGTGGGAGGGAGAGAGGGGAACAGAGAGAGAGAGAGAGAAACATTGATGTGAAAGGAACACATCGAGTGGCTGCCACCCGCACAACCCACCAGGGCCGGGGACAAACTGCAACCGAGGTACATGCCCTTAGCGGGAACCGAACCCAGGTCTCTCAGGACCGCAGGCCGACGCTCTAACCGCTGAGCCAAACAGGCCAGGGCTTGGTAGCTAAATTTTATACATTTCATGTTAGGGTATTCTTCCTAAGTACCTGAAGAGTTTTCATTCTACTATGTTGAGCATATCCCCTAAACTATCACTTACTTTATATATCCTTAGCAAATCTTTTGCTTGCATGAATCTAGGCGAACTTCAAACAACTTTCTATGACAAATTACAAATTATGGAAAATCTGGATTAATGAGATATACAAATGCTTCCTTTGTATAGGTCTACATGTATTGCATGATCTCTCCCTACCCTTAACCCCACTGTTGTAGTATGGCTAACTCCTAATCCTTTCAGATTCAGATCAGTTCTATTTCTAGAAAGCTTTCTTATACAGCTAAGCCAGGGTTAGCTACCCTTGCCTGTTGATTCCACAGCACTATGTGTATAGCTCTTTCATAGCAATTCTAATTCTACATTGTTATGATCTGGTTTCCTCCATTACATGATGGCTGCAAACATGTGTTATTGCTCTATATGACATCCCCCCACCACCACCACCAAGGACCTACTACAATACCTGGCAAAATAGTGGTCAATAAAACTAAAATGCACAAATACAGTCCCCTTGTTAGTAACAAAAAAAAAAAGCAAAATCTCATTTTAAGGACCTTAAAAGAGAAAAGTTTCCCTATTTCCTTCATATTATATTCGTAGGAAAGCTATTGTGACAATATTACAAAAAGAAATTTACTTGCTTACAAAAAAATAAATACCTAGAAATCACTGTGTTTGCATGTAAAAATGAATCGCTGGGAACAAGAAGAGTTTTTTCCAATAGGTGATGTTTTCCTGGCGCCCAAATTTTATATCTTCTATTATGTTAATCAAACAAAGGGATTTTACAAAAATATATTGAACATTTAAAAAATCAGGGATAAAGGTTATTCCCTTGGTTACTGCTTTAAGAGCTGGAAGGAACTACATGACCTACCAATTGGTCTGTCCCGAAATACCTCATATCAAATCATCACTCCGTAATAAATGGTAAATCATAAACTTTAACATCTTCTTTCTTCCACAGGAGTCTCCTCAAACTAATTTTTTTATATATAGTCTCTAAACCTACAGCCCGAAGGCAATGAAAATCTTAACAGCAAAAATTTTAAGTGCTCAGTTTGGTCAGCTATATTACCCAAAGTCTAAAATAATCATGCAGAACAGGGAAACGGAATCCAAGTGTATTCAGTCCTTCTCAATTAACATACACAAAAGAGGACATTTTCACAGAAAAGATAATGCATACTGTCTGATGCTTACCTTTCCTGCGCCCATAAGTCTCAAGAACTTTTGTTTTCTTTCTTCATTACCTAAGTCTGCTGCCTCCCAATTGCTAGATCCAAGCTGGAAAAGAAATCAGCCTATTAATATTTTTTGCATAATAATATTAAAAAATTTACCTACCAGTAAATCATAGGTTTTCCCGCCCGATCAGTTTTAACTATAAACAGGGCTCTCATTCTTACTTAGGAAATTAAGCATATATATCATAAATATACAGCCAGTCCCGGACTTATGATGGTTCAACTTAAGAATTTTTAATTTTATGATGGTGTGAAAGTGATACCCATTCAGCAGAAACTGGCCAGACTAAGCTATGATGTTTGATAGGTTAGGTTTGCATTTCTGATGTAATGGTATTTTCAACTCATGATGGGTTTACTGGGATGTAACCACATTGGAGGAGCATCTGTATTCCTTTTGTTACCTAAGGCAGAAGCTTTTAGTTCTTTTGCAGCTGGAGAGCTTAGTTCTCAAAAGTGTTTTGTTTTTTATCCTCATCTGAGGACATTTTTGCATTTATCTTCCAATAGAGCAGGAGGGAGAGAGGAAGAAAGAGAGAAAGAGAAACATCGACTGGTTGCCACCCGCAGGACACAACCAGGGCTGGGGACAAACTGCAAACGAGGTACATGCCCTTAGCGGGAACTGAACCTGGGACTCTCTGGTCTGCAGGCCGATGCTCTGGCCGCTAAGCCAAACCGACCAGGGAAGTTCTCAAAAGTTTAATTCTATCTTAATCATCTGGAGGGCTTGTTTGTTAGAACACACCAGAAGTTTCAGATGCAGTAGGTCTGATGTGGGGCTCATGGATTTCATCTCTAACAAATTCCTAAGTGAAGATGATGCTGTTCATGTGGGCAACCAAATGTTAGGATCCTAGAGCATGTAGGACTTTGAACCCAGAAGGCTGCCAAACTTGTTAGTAACTAACTGGCTTTAGTGATATTCTAAAGGACAGTTTAAGATCAGAGTCTACTGGACCCAATTTTGTTCTTTGTTCCAAAGAATACAGAGAAAATTTACTTATTTTTTTTTTTTAAAGAACAGAATAACTCATTCTACCTTATAATTATCAAATGGACCAAATCAATATCAAATATTGAACCCTTTGATAAATCTAAGGAATATTATGGAATCCTAATGCTATTTTTCCCTACATCTTGAAACAAATGTAAGAATTATTTAATTTTAATTCATCAATTATTTCCAACTATGCTAAAAATGACTAAAATAAGAAAATAGAAAAATAAAAGTTTTCTCATGTCCACAGTATTGTATCATCTTTCAAGAAAACATCACCCCTCTGTTGGTTGCTTCTAGCTTTCATTGGACATAGTTGCAAGTGGGTAAAAATTGAAAACTGACAAGAAGGCATTTCACAATTATTAGAAAAATAAACAATTGAATGCAAAATGACAGGTGATGGCAAAATTAACTGCATATGTAGATAACTTTTCTCCAACCCAGAAATCAGTGATAGACAAAGAAAACACAAGAAATATAATACTCTCATCCAGAGTCACTTCACAGGAAAAACTTCATCCTGTAGTAATATTTTGCTACAATAGCCTGGACCATCTGTTTTTCTAAAAAATAATGCCTATTTCATATCATCTTTTATGATATCTGTACACCAAAACTTACTTGATACGGTTTTTAAGTGGACAAATGATGAAGGCAGGTGTGTATACAAAGGTGACTAGAAGGAATGTAGACATGAAAATATTCACTGATCATTCTAATTGAGTTTATAATCTAAAAATGAAAATGTTTCACAATTATGGAACAAAAATTACAACCCCTTTTCAACACAAAATTATGAGCGATCAAACATTTCAAATAATTCAAGTAGTATTATATTTTGATAATACAAATGTAAGAATTAGAATAACTTCATAATAAAGCAAAAGTCTATCAGAAATAGATTTGAAATCTGAAATTATGTTTGTTTTCACACATGGCAACTGATAAGCAGTTAGCTGTATTCAGAGGGTGCTAATCATTCTAATGAAAGCGATTTTCACTATCACTTTATTCTTACTTCTGAAAGTTATTTGTAAAAAAGACTAACAGAATATAAAAGAAACAATAATGGCCATTTCTTCTGGGCATATAGAAGTTAAAACTGTTTTAATACATGAACAACCATGGCTCTTCTAAATTCCTTTTGGTAGGGGGCTTATATGCTTTCATGATTTTGACTACCTTAGTTCCAAATTTCTGCTTCTTTCCATCTGACAGCTCATCTTTTCACAGACCAGTTAGTTCTTAACTACTTCTATTTCTGGCTCAATATAGTAGAAAAAAAAAATTAAAGTACTAGTGAAGCTTAAGTTCTAAGTCCCACTACATTACTTGCTCTCTGGAAACCTAGACCTGGCATTTAACTACTTATGTAAAGAAAATTTTTTTTTAATTCAATGTTTTAAATCCTCACCTGAGGATATTTTTCCATTGATGTTTTTCAGATACAGTGGAAGGGAGAGACAGAAACATCAATGTGAGGGAGATACATCGATTGCTTGCTCCCGCATGACCCGAACCAGAGAATGAACCCAGGACTCTTCAGTCTGTGGGCCAACGCTCCAACCGCTAAGCCATACCAGCCACGGCTATCTTCTTACTTTTAATTTCTTACTGACACAGAGAGGCTTCTTTAAAAGACTGTCTTAACAATGCCTAAAAATCAGTGTCTTACAACTTACAAACTGCTTTCACTTACATTCTCTCAAGAGACCATTTAAAAAATCAGGACAATGAGGCAAAGAGGCTAAGGGACTTGCTTCCATCCTCTGCTCTTTCCACATACTAAACACAAGTGGAACTATAGTTATAAAAATATATGAAATTAGGTTAACTTTTTTAAAAAATTAGGTTAAAAATAATTGTCTAAAAACCAAAACTTGCACTGGCCAGTGTGGTTCAGTAGTTAAAGCATCTGCCTGGGCACTGAAGGGTCATGGATTAGAGGGTAGCAGGTTCAATCCCTGGCCTCAGGCATTACAGGAAGCAACCAATCAATGTGTCTGTCACATAGATGTTTCTGTTTCTCTCTCCTTCCCTTCCTCTCTACCCTCTACTCTCTCTAAATATCAATGGAAAAAATATCCTCGGTGAGAATTAAAACAAATAAACCCCCTAACTTCCCCAAACTCTCTACTAAAAGAGCAAATGTCTTCAATGTCTTTACATATGTATAATTTATAATTTACAATTTATAACCCTAATTTTTTTTTCAACCATGAAGTCCTCTGGTTCTTGCTTTCAAAGACCTTAGCATACAATAGCAAGTACCTTGTCCAAGGTGCCCTGACACATTCTCAGAGGTTCTACACCAGTGCTAAAATTAACTTCCCACTCTTCCTACTCCCTAAAAGATAGCTTTCATTTCTCCACTCCAATCAAACCAATGAAATCACCTTTAAACTGTCTGTAAACTATAGAACTACAATCAATTTATCTCCAATAATACCATAGTAACTCTTGGAATTTAATTCTAACACTGTCAGCATTTTCCTAGAGTTGGATTCTGTGCTTTAGTATCTACTTTTAATATCTTTGAAAATGTTTTGTAATCCCCATTTAACATGTGAGGTCAGCGAGCAAAGAAAACTTCAACTATCTTTTACATGCAGTGGATGTTCATTAGAAACTGTTGACCAACCACATATTATAATTAGTTGATTTTCTACAATTTAGATATATATTTAAAAACATTTAAAAATGTTTTACATATATTAAAATATTTTAAAAACAAGTACTTACAAGGTAACTCCCAATTACCAGCAAAAATAAAATTCATATGAAAGAAACTGACTTAAACAAAAATCACTATCACCCGGTCCGTGTAGCTCAGGGTTGAGCGTTGACCCATGCACTAAGAGGTCACTGGTTTGATTCCCAGTCAGGGCACATGCCCAGGTTGTGGGCCCGATCCCTGGTGGGGGCATATAGGAGGTGGCCAATCGATGTTCTCTCTCATTGATGTTTCTATCTCTCTCTCCCTCTCCCTTCCTCTAAAATCAATAAAGAAAAAAAAAATCACTATAAAGGGATAGATTGCTGTAGTATTGCACTATAATATAAAATTAGCAACATAATCAATTTTAGGAAGTGAAGGTGCTAAATCCTGATTTGATTTGCAACTATAACCACTGACTTCAAAGAGAATGCTTATAGGACTGAAAAAGGTCCTAAAGGTCTCCTAGTTTAAACTGATCCCATCAGAAGCTCAATCACTTAATCCCTTTAATTTTGTGTTAAATTAATATCACCAAGAGTTTTCTGTCAAGCTAAAAGAGTTATGTCTCTGAGTCTAGCAAAACAGGTGCCTAACATTCTAGCAATCAAGTCAGTTAAATACCTGGAGGAAAATAATGTAATAGCTTTTTTTTTTTTTTTTTTTTTTTTTAATTTTTTATCCTCACCCGAGGACATTTTTCCATTTTTTGTTCAGGTAGAGTGGGAGGGAGAGAGAGGAACAGAGAGAGAGAGAGAAACATCGACGTGAAAGGGACACATCGAGTGGCTGCCACCCGCACGACCAACCAGGGACGGGGACAGTCTGCAACCAAGGTACGTGCCCTTAGCGGGAACCGAACCCGGGTCTCTCAGGACCGCAGGCCGACGCTCTAACCGCTGAGCCAAACCGGCCAGGGCTGTAATAGCTTTTAAAATGGCATCCAGATTACTCAAAAGCCTAGATAAACTATTGGCATGTTCTGGATGACCATATCAACAAGAAAAGATCTGAAAGCTAGTTGTAGGGAGTAAGGGAGGGCATGCAGAAATCTCACTATAACTATTCATCCTCCAATCTTTTTTTTTTTTTTTTTTCCATCTTCCTATCTTTACTGATTACTAAATCTTTCTGCAAAGTTAAAAGAGCGTTACTATCCTGGACCTAACCCTTCCACCCACCCAGAGGGTCTTAACCATTATCTCATTTGCTACAAATTATGCACTAGTAGTATGCAGTTAGCCTTTTATGGTTCACAAAGTATGAAAGACACTTAACTGCACTATAGAAAATAAACAACCCGATATTCAGAAGTCGAAAGTGCTTTAAACAATAATGGAAAGAAAACTAGATGTTGTCCCTTCACCATTCTTAAAGTTGACCTACCATGCCCCCCTCTCCCAAATGTCCCCATCAACGCTTCCGCGGCATTTATTTACCCACTGTAAGAAGGACCTAATTTTAAATTTACTGGTTACTGCAATCTCCGTGACAATGCGCTAGGAGCTGGGACAGATATACAAAAAGGCATAAGCACATACTTATTCATCTTTTAATTTCCAACACCTGGCACAGCAGTAAATATTTAATGTTGTTACTTTAAGAAATGGTTTGTTATTTAAACTGACAAGCTGGGGTGGGGGGCGGGGGTTACAAAAGGGGAGGGGGAAGAGGAGGGAAGGGGGAGGAGGGGAGAGGGAGGGAGGTACTTGACATCAAAACTGGCTTCCAGGTCTCAACGTCTTAGACCTCGCCACTTTGCGCCAGTAACAAATGACTCCCCGGTACAATTTTTCCATTCAATACGGTTCTGACTTTACTCCTAACAGTAAAGTTTAAATGTTAACGTTGCAAAAATAATCCCGGCCGGAAGATCTGCCCTAATTGCACGAACATCTTGACACTGTCACAAAAGTATTTTAAGCCTAAAATAGGAAAGGTCTTGCCGTCTCCATCCTGAGTAGAAAGGCCCGACCAAGAGACCTCATCAGCACCCAAAGAGGCAAATAATGACCTTTTGACTACGCCCTTACACTTGTCGACCCTACAGGATTTCCTTCCTCGGTCTCCCTTCCTACGCAGGTCTCTGGCTCTTAGCGAGCGGCCCGCTTCAAACCTTCCGACCCTAATTAAGACAAGGAGACATTTCCCATTCCTCTGGGTCCCCGCACCCCCAATTTTCGGGCCACCTTCGGCATGTCCTCCTTCTACACCCACCCTTCCCGGCCTACCCCAACCTTCAGTAGGCCTCAACCCTCATCCATTCCGCCATTGTTATTTACATCGTCGTCTGGGGAGGCTGAACGCTTCACCCCGTGCGGATGGGACTCCCTGGCGGCACTCATCGTTGCGGGGACCCCCGACGGAAATGCCAAACCGACTCGCTGTTCTCCTCAGCCGCGACACCAGCAGCCTGCAACCTGCCACCGACCAAGCAGCGCCACTCCAGAACGCAGAGCCCCTCGGGCCTTCTCTGCCACAGTCGTCACGCCGCAGCCGCGCGTCACCCCGGAGCACTCTGGGAGATGTAGTTTTCTGGCGGACTCTATACTGGCTGAACAAAAGACAAAGAGGGGTGACTCAACCTACAATTCCCAGGAAGCCCAGCGGCACACCTCGCGCAGTGCGGCGGGAGTGTCCTCTGAGACTCCGCCTTCTCCGACTGGTGAAGGGAGTTTTCCCGCGGATGGGTATGGCGGTGAGCGTTGTAGCAAAGCTTCGTTGACACAGAAAGAGGCTTAGCCTGGGGTTTCGCTTTTCTCTGAAATGGCGCAGCGTTGACATACGTGTCCGTAGTAGCTAAGCACCTAGGATTCAATGTAATGTTTGAGGCGTATTGCATCCTCACGAGTAACGTACTCCCCAGACAAAAACCTTTGGAGAAAATATGGCTTCTACCGTTTCCACCCTGGTGGTCTCTCTTGGTGGGAGATGTCTACGTGACCAGCGGCTCAGCTTTTTAGAAGTTTCCGATGAATATTTTGCTGCTTTCTCTTTTTCACTGAAATGAGCCCAATGTGGTGTTGTGCCAGTTTACTGGCTGTTGTTGAAAGCAGGGCTCACTGAGGGAGTTCTGTAAGCTTTCCACATGGCTTTGTGTGAAGTGAGAGTGATCCTATCCACCGGCTGCTGGAGTAGACGAGGTACTTGGGGGGCCTTCACCAAGTGAAGACCCCCTCCCCTCCCCCCTCACCCACCGGGGCCAGAAAGCCATGTATCTTTTAAAACATACTTCCTTTTTTTTTTAGTGAGGTGAAATTCACATAACATAACACTTAACTATTTTAAAGTGTACAATTAAGTGGCATTTAGTACATTGACAATGTTGTGCAACTGTCACCTTGATCTAGTTCCAAGACGTTTTCATTACCCCAAAAGAAAATTCAGTACCCATTAAGCAGTCCTTCCCTATGACCTCTTCTTCCCAGCAACCCCTAATCTCCTCAGAATCCGCTGTATCTAAAGGTTTTATTTGGCTATTGGAAATTTATTCATGCAATATCAAGGTATCTTGAATTTTTAACCAGGCCTGAACCTGGCTGCCTTCGCCCCTAATACTCTGTCAGGATCCTTGTCCTTACTTATGCTGAAGCTTTCTGACCTTGATAAAAATTTTGATTTTTTTTTTTTTTTAAGTAAAAATCAGTAAGTTGGGATGACAGTAAGGTTATAGTTGCATTTTGGTACTGAAGGTAGCCTGTGAAACTTCACTATTGGCCCCTGAACTCAGCAATTAACTCTAGTTTGCCTGCCTGCGTAAAAATAGTATTACTTTGATTTCTGACAGTCACTGACCATTTGTAGAACTGTGACCAGTGGAATATAGTTCTTTATGCAGTCATATATCTAAATTTTGCCCTTTTATTTTGGAAGCAAGGGGATAAAACTAATTAGGATAATAATCTCAGATAGGGTCATTTTTATAATCATGCAAGGTCACCTTAATCAGTTGGGTCTGTGAAGAATACCCCAGAAATCAAGGTGGAGAAGAGTAAATTCATAAGGAGAAAAGGTATTTTTTGGAAGTGGTTTGCTCGTTACGATGAATCAAAGTATTTTGCCTACTATGATTCTACAAAAGTTCTGTAAATATAATTACAATGAAATTGCAGTTAACTTACAGAATTTTCAAGAATGGACTATGGTTCTTCAGAGCATTTGACAGACTATTAATATATACAATTTAGAACTCTTAGCTTTATTACCAATAAACAAATGGGATGCCTGAATCGGTAATTTAGATTGCTAAAATAATTCTGAAATAAAAAAGGACAATAAGGCTAGTAGTTACTAAGTAGTTTGAACTTTACTTAGTAAAAGTCTAGAAAAGCTTAATGAACTGGCAACCTGCCTTTTATTTCTTCACTAGAATTGTTGGCACCTGTAAGGCTAAATCTTCATGTTATCATAAAACAAATCAAGCCAAAAAATACGACTGGATCATTTAATCAGATTTTACTTGGCTTCACATACAGAAGGCTATAGGTAAGGATGAAATTATACAGTGTAATAGAATTGCATATATGGCATAGAAACTCGGTAATACTCTTACTTGTTTTGTAAAAACAGGAAGATACTCTGTGCCAGGTGGAACTCTGAAATAACATCTTTGGGATGGGAACTGTTCCATTTTATTTTTTGTTTCTGTATCTTCTAGCACAATGCCTGACACAGAGTAGTTAATAAGTTCTTTTTAATTAATCTAAGAAGTATGAAATAATATAATGTAACAGAGTGGTATCTTATATAACGTCCAGAAACTCAGAAATGGCCTTTTTTTTGGGTAGTAAAGACAAAGAAAGGAGACTGCGTTGTTAATAGAACTTCAAAATACTTTCCTGAGGGTAGAGACCATGCCTTCCTCATTTTTTTATATACCTAGTGCTTAGCATGTAATAGGCACTCATGTTTGTTGAGTTCATATATTAATATTCCTTCAATCAAGGGTAGTAATAACTGAGCATAGTTAACAAACCTAAAGAAGAAATAAAAGCTCTGTACAAAAAACCTGCTACTAGACTAAAAAAAATTTCCTGCAGCCATAATGATAACGTTATTTAACATTCTCTATGCACCACATACTTTGCTAGGTGCTTTTTATAATTGATCTCAAAACTTCACAGTAATTTGTAAGAATTTTTATTTTCTAGATAATGAAGCTTAAGAGAAGTTAAATACTTGTCCATAATCATATAGCTAATGAGTGAGTAGCTAAGCTGTGATTCATTCCTTAAATCTGTCTAACTCCAAAAACCTGTGCACTTTCCACTGTGCCAGTATAACTCAACATTTATATGGGGTGCTTTGTACGCATCAGACATTGTGCTAAATGGAAAACCAGAATGAGTAATGTATAATCCCTTATCTCAAGGAGTTTATAATGGTCAGGCATGTAAAAGAGACATTCTAAGAGAAGAGAAGAGAAGAGAAGAGAAGAGAAGAGAAGAGAAGAGAAGAGAAGAGAAGAGAAGAGAAGAAAAAAGAAAAGAAAGAACATTTAAGGGTAGAATGAGGAAGAAGAGTCTGAGATTAAAAAACAGATGTGGAAGTAGAACAAAGAAAGTTAAGTGTCATTGAAGCTAAGGGGAAAATAAAGAATGCATTGTTCAACAGTGGGAGACCGAGAGAAGAAATTTATCTTGAAGCTAATTTTAAAGGCATAATATAAAGGGAACTTCAAGGCCTCACATAGAATTCTAAAGGCAAAGTATAGGGAAAAAAAGTTTGTGGTTAATGATAGTCCATGATAAGAAGTGGAATTTCCATTCTGTACATTGGATGTGCAGATTTGTCACTGTACTACTAAAATGTGATATAAATATTGGCTTGATTGTTTTATACATACCTAGAAAATCAAAAGAATAAAGAATGAAAAAGGAGATGAAAATGGTATGTGCTTATAAAATTTCTTCAGTAAAATTACTGTTAATGCATGTCTTCTAATCTGGTCATAAGGTCTGTACAGTATATACATAAAACAGCAATATTCCAATATTTCAAGAGAATTTATGAGTTTAAATAAATGGGTGATATTCTTTTTTTTTTTTTTAAAGGGAAAATTGGATTTAGAACATTCTAGTTTTTCCCCAAAATTACTTTGTTGTTCTTGCCAATTATAAAATGTCAATATGAGGCTGGCTAAACAAATTATGATAAATCCATACTGTGGACTACCATGTACCCATTAAAAGAAAGAAGACTGATGGCTGTCAGAGGGGAAGGAAGTGGGGGGTTGGTGAAAAAGGTAAAGGGGATTAAGCAGTACAAATTGGTAGTTACATAGTAGCCATAGAGATGTAGATTATAGCATAGGGAATATAGTCAATATCGAGATAAATATGTATGGGGCCAGGTGGGTACTTGAAACAATGGAGGGGACCACTCTTTAAAGTACATGATTTTCAAACCACTTTGCTGTACATCTGAAACTAATACAGAATAATACTGAATATAAACTGTAATTGAAAATTTTAAAAAACTGACAAAAAAAATAAAAAGAGTAAACTCATATCTGGAACAGTCTTTAAGATATATTATTGAATTAAAAAATCAAAGTGTAGAACACCTTATATTTACACTGTATTTGTATTAAAACAAAAACAGAAAGGAATCACTATATATGCATAAAATATTTTCACAAAGATATTCAAGAAACATAGATATTTGTAGACTCCATGTTTGGGGCAGTAGGTGGCTGGGAGGCTGAGATCCACAGGCAGCAGGGGGACCTTTTACCATACTTTTTGTGTCTATTGAATTTTAAATTATCTGACTATTAACCTATTTAAAATATTAACAAAAAGATGACTACACAACTAAAGTAAAATGGACTTTTAAAAAGTTAGAGTCACAAAGATAAACAGACTCACAAAGATAAAACAAACCTATTGAAGAAAATGTGGAAAATAAAGTACAAAAAAGAAATAAAAATCGCTCATGGTTCTGAGGTAACCACAGTTAACATCTACGTGTAATTCCTTCTGGTTTCTTTTTTCTAGTGATTATGAGGAAATACATTCAATTTTTCAATAGTAATAATTTTTTCCCTCACTTCCATGATAATATCATTTAGGGTTTAGGTACAGATGATTGTAATTAGATTGATTTTTTTGTTAATGATATTTTTGGCATATGCCTTCAGGCTTTGTAAAGAACAGCTTTATTGAGATATAATTCACATACCACATAATTCAGCTATTTAGTGTACACAATAAAATTTTTTTTTTTTGAGAGAGTGGAAGAGAGGGATGGAGGAGGAGAGAGAGGAGAGCAAGCGAGAGAGAAACATCAATGTGAGAGAAATACAGCAATTGGTCACCTCTTGCACGGGTCCTGAGCAGGGCCAGGGAGTGAACCTGCAATCCAGGTACATTGACCAGGAATCGAACCCACAAGCCTTTGGCCTGACCGCTGAGCCAAACTGGCCAGGGCATAAATTTTTTTTTTTTTTCAGTTTGTGTACTCTTTTTTAAAAAAATTAATTAATTTTGTTACAGATGTTTCT